ATAAATCAATAAATCTTAAAAAAAAAAAAAAAGCTGTCCACAGCCACTGCAGCACGAGTTCAATCCCCAGCCAACCAGGGAGCAAGCCACATGGTGCAGCAGACCTCTCCTCTCTCACCCGCTGCTCCCCTCAGCAATGTATTTCCATCAGTCTGCCTGTTTGGCTCCCCATTCTGTCTCTGGTGAATCCTCTCACCACCACCAACCCCACACACCTTTGGCCTGTACCTCAGTTCTTGTATGCATAAATAAATCTTTAAAAAAAAAAAACCCTATGTACTAAATAAACAACATATTTTCTTTCAGCAACCTGGAACTACAAAGGTAGAAGGACTACTTCAACTAGAATCTAATTCTTATCACACCATCAGCTCCACAATGATTTCCTGTCATTTCATATGCAGAGGTCATTCATTTGTTCACTCAACATTTACTGAGTAGCTACTCTGTGCCAAAAATGGTTAGGCACTGGGATATAAAGATAAACAAGTCAAGGTCCTGCCCTCAAGTAGGTCACAACCTAGGAATGGAAAACACAAAAATACCACAAGACTATAGTGTGATTATGAAAGATGCTTGCACAGACTTCAATGGTCATACAAAGGATAGACATTCAGCTTAATATGGAAAGAATCAAAAAAGGCTTTTGAGAGATGGGGGTGTCTGAATTACTGGTAAATTCAAGCCTAAAAGTCAAACAAGCAATAGAATGGGGGAGAAAATTAGCAGAAGGAATACACTGAATATACTGAAATCTTCAAGGAATTCACTATAAGGGGAGTCTCAAATGCCTGTGAATTGGTGCAGAGGAGGGACTAGAAGAAAAGACACAGAAGAGGCCAGTCATAAGAGGTCCTTGTGGGCTGCTGAAGTCAAGACAAACCAGAACCTAGATATTCATGGTATTTTTGAAACCAGAGGAGTACGACTTACTTCTAACTGGAGTTAAAAACCATGTTGAATGGAAAGAGTAATTTGACAAAGGCAAGACTGGAAGAGATTTAGGGTTAGTTATTTCAAACCACTCCTGGCTCATACTTATCTTTCTTCTGACTCTCACAGGGAAAAAAAAAAAAAAAACTGAACAAACTCATAAGAAAGCCTGTGAACCTTCTGTTCATCAAAAACATCTCTAAACAGAGTGCTAGATTCAATCAAAGCAGCCCAAATTAGAAAAAGATAACAAACCTCTCCAGCATCTGGAACCCTTCAGGGAAAAAGACCAAAGCAGACAACACCATTGGCATAGCCTAGCACTATGTCAGTGGGAATGTCCACAGTTCCCAGCATGTCAAATAGTTACCTCCTGGCTTCTCCATACAAACTGCTGGGGGAAAAATCTACCAGTGCCAAGAATGACCTTGGACTTTACAATGTGGAATCCTGCCCACCAATTCTAGATAAAGACTGTCTCTCCAATTCATCTGTCCAGAGTGCCAACAGGTGCAGACAGAGTGGCCTGACTTCCTCAGCAGACAGGAAACTGGGTCTCTCGTCCAAGTCTACACCCAGTTGCAATCCTACTACCAATATTAGAGAGAATAGTGCCCCCTATACAGCAAACACTGACCACATATGAGGCAACTTTCGCAACAGGCCTTCATCTCCAGTCTTCACTGGAACATGCAAAGAACGTTATATCACTTTTCAGATGAAATAGAGTAAAATCCAAGTTCAGAATGGTTAACAGCTTACCCAGGTTAAAAGAAAGCAAGAGGAAGAGGTAAGAAGACTTCAAAGATCATGTTTTTCCCACTGTACTAGACATCTCAGAATTTTTCTGAAGAAATAAAAAACTCTAAGCCTTCTTTCCAATAGTTTCTAAAGTTTATACATTAGACTAAGAAGTAGTCAAAAACATTTCAGGAGCAGCAGACCTCTTCTGACTCGCCCGCTGCTTCCCTCAGTAGTATATTTCAGTCAATCCAACTGCTCTGTTCCCCACTCTGTCTCTGGTGAATCCTCTCACCCCCACCACCTCTGGCCTGTACCCCAGTTCTTGTACGCATAAATAAATTATGAATCTTTTTTTAAAAATTTCAGCAATCACTTTGCCTTCAAAGCAACAAATAAATCAGTTTTTATTCTATTTGATCAAGTGAATTGCAGCTGGAAAATGAGAGCTATTTCACAGAATTTATTAACTAAGTGCATTGATTTTAAATGTCTTCATTTATTTCTGACCAAGATATATGCACAGAAAGATAGATAACACAGGAAAGGATTTCATTTTAATATACTGGAAAGGAGTTTAACAATTAAAGCCAAAAATTCAAATTTACACTGTATTTTATGCATAAAAATTAAGAGGTAAGCAATTTCAAATAAACTGAGCATTACCTCAATCTTATTCCTCCTGTTCTAGGGGACAGCACACAAACTGATGTGCTGACACTCAGCTTACATACAATGAACCAGACAAAAGAGGAAGAAATGCCTCATGTTCACAAAATCACAGTGGGAAGGAAAGTGGGATGGCTTCCTGGAGAACCTGAGTACATACACAGTATTTATATATCACTGCTTATCCAAACACATGCAGAAACAAAATGTTTACATGGCTCATCTACAGGAGTAAAGCTAACAGTTACATTTAAATAAAATAATGTAAAAACAATCGCATACTATTGTGAACCATTATAGTTAAACTTTTTCAAAGGAAACATACAAAGATATTCAATTGTATTGATAACACTTTGAAAGATTTATTTACTTATGCATACAAGAACTGGAGTACAGGCCAGAGGTGTGGGGGGAGAAAGGATTCACCAGAGACAGAGTGGGGAACAGAGCAGGCAGACTGACTGAAATACACTGCTAAGGGGAACAGAGGGTGAGTCAGGAGAGGTCTGCTGCACTATGTGGGTCACCTCCCTGGCCAGGGATGGAACTCGTGCTGCAGTGGCCGCAGATAGCTTAATAGTTCTATGTCTTAACCCCTTGCCCCACCAGGGAGGCCCTGTATTGATAACACTTTATATAAAAATTTTATTCTACAGCTTCACTGATTAAGTTTCTCTTTCTTCACTCACTTCTGAAATAAGAAGTACTACTATTAAAATGTCAAAACTATCATCACTGTGGAAGTGCTCAGCACAGTGCCTGGTATAATTCAATATATAATATATTGGCTTACAAATGAATTTATTACCTGAGAAAATTTGAGAGAGGCAGAGAGAAAAACAATACATTTCAAGGGATATAAATGATTTCAAGTCATTTATTAAATGATTTAAGGAAAAAAATCCCCAGAACTATCAGTGCAACCGCAAAGTCAAGGATCACCTGAAATTTTATAGTAGATTCCAGCCCGAGAGTATTTCCTAATTCTCTAAACTCAGAAGGTGCAACCACTCTGATACTGTTGTTGTTGTTGTTTTTTTTTTTTTCATGTAGGTTTTGACATCTCATCTACAAACAACATGCACCAACTTTTGCCTGAATACATCCAGAGTTCTGGTGCACAGCTGCAGGTCTCAGAGTTTGCATATTATGCCTTTCAAAGACATATATATGAAAGTGTACAGACTAAATTCATTGAAAAAGAATAACATTTCTAGTGAAGATAATGTCCTGCGAGATGCTGAAATGACAGACTAAAATTTAACACTTGCAATGTAATGACTCCATGGCAGTAGGAGAAAATGAGGTTTCGTGTATTTAGGGCTATTAAATAGTTTTTGAATAACACAAACTGTTAGGGTTTTCACAATCCTCTTTAGAGTTGCAAGAATTAAACAATGACACAAAAATTAGTGAAAACAAGCTCTTAAATTTATAAAAATTGGATTGAAAACCCCTAGAATTTACATATATTATGGTGTCTGTTTGTCTATCATTATAAACAATAGCTACAGTGCTGAAAAGAAAATGAGTCACTATTCAAAAACAAAGAAGGAAAAAAATGAACAGAGGAAAGCTTTGGCTCCAAATGCCACAAAGAAATTATTTACTTAAAATATTGTCAAGGACAGCTACCAGTCTAACTTGAAGAAGGAACGACTCACACTGTCTTCTACTAGGAAACAAACTTACTCAGTCCCCAAAAGTCCCTCCCAGCCCCCTCCATCTCAGAATTCAGCCAGATATAGTCAGCCACATCCACTAGCAAGCAACACGAATTCTAACAGATCTGAGTCACCTACTCCCCCGCAGTAAGAGGTCATTCTCTATCAGAAGCCCACTCTACAAAGTTCCCTGATCATCTCCCAGGCTGCCACCACCACGGTCCACATAAAGCTAATCCTCCAATCTCAGAAGCCTACCAATCGTCCTCTACATGCCTCAAATCACAACTCTGCCCTGACCCTAATGCCATGGTAGCCAACACAATGCACACCGTGACACTCTTGTGGCAAGTTCCCTGCATGAGAACTACTCCATAGCAAGTTGCATCTAGGCCCAGAGAACCCTGTTCTGCTCAACTCCCCTGTGCCCAGTTGAGCTCCTGCCTTTCCAGGAACTAATCAACGGTTACCTCAGAAAAACTGAACTCTCAATGCCTCGACGCCCCAACCAGACCCTGATTTGCCAATTTACTGACCTCGGGGGAAGAAAAAGGAAGAGATGCAACCCGATGCGCCTTGGGGACCAGGCACACGGAGGTCCCTGAAATTCCAAACGTAACCCCCACCCTCGACACACACAAACACACACACACACACCCCGCTATGATCAGCCTCCAGGGCGTCTGCACCAAGCGCCAGGAGCGCACGCCGGTAGAGTTAAGTCTCCGCTCCATTAGACTCCGTTTCTCGGCTACAAAAACCCTTAACATCGAGCCACCGAGGCCCCGGGTCCAGGGCAAGACCGCCGCCAAGCCTCGGGCCACCGGAGTTTCCAGCGTCCGATCCAGCGCCCCAAAGCCCGGGTCGGCAAGACCTCGGCTTGCTGCCCCAAGCGCTGAGCACCAGGGGTCCGGGCCGAGTCTCCGCTCGGCCCCCATTGTTGCGGGTCCCAGCGGCCCGAGAGGGGAGTCGGGGGCCGGCACCAGCACTCACCTCCCGCGCCGCCGCTCCGGGTCGCGCCGGGCCGGGAAAGGCCGAGGGGCCACGCGTTCTGTTGCGCCCGCCTCGGCGGTGTCTGTGGCGTCGGGGGCGGGGGCGGAGGCGGCGGCTGAGGCGGGAAGCAGCCGGCCAGGCCCCGGCGCCACGGACTGGCTCTGACCAAGCGTCGGTCTTCTCCGGCGGCGGCGCTCGCAGCCTCCGCTTGTGGTCCGCGCTAGAAAGCTTCCCCCTCTCGGCCCGCACGCCCGGCAGCCCGGACGGGAACACGAGCCGCGGACAGAAAAGTTCCGCTGAGCGTCTGCGCGAGTCCCTTCTTCCCCAACGCCTGCTAGAGTGAGACTCCTCCCTGAATAGAGTCGTCCTTTGCTGCTGATGACTGTTTCAAGATTGCGGCACGGAAATCCCAGGCCTAAATCTGGATCCTAGGTGTGGGTCCGCCAGAATAGGTTTGCACTCCGCCAGCCACCCGAGAGGCACGCTGGCCACTTAGTGCTTTATTTGAATCGTGGTTCCTCCTCTTTCCTCTCTTGGGGACGACATGGGCTTGTTAGGATGGAATGAGATGATACCAATGCCTGTCGCAGAGATATGGAGCTCAACATTGGGGCACAGTCATTGCTGATGCTACCAATGACGACGACGACGACGACGACTACTACTATCGTCTCTTAGAGAGGTTGTGAATAGCTCCTCAGGGACTCCTGAAATTGATGCGCACCATTTAACTCTCAGTTTTCCACCTTCCTCTCCCACCTCCTGTTGACTAAAGCTGTCTTCAGAACTCCCTGACGGAGAGACAGGGACAAGAAGGAGCTTTCTTGTCACCGACTGAGGAAAATGAGGATGTAGACCATCCTCCTCCTCTTGCTCCTCCTTCTCCCAGTAAGTGAATGTTGCTAAGATGATGAGAAAAATATGAAAATGAATCTTTTTAAATAAAGGTTTGGGTTTTTTCCCTTGTACAATTAAAAGTATAAAATCCGTTCTCCCTTTTCTTCTGGACCTTCATACGTCAAGACATAGTTATTTTTGGAGCAAATTAGGTTATAAAAATACAAGTGTGTGTTCCCAACCTAACCATGGGAATTTAGATCTGCAGAAAGTGCTCCAAATGCTATCATGGTTTTAACTACTTCGCAAATCTCCATTCTTTCGGCCCTTTGACTTCTGAGACTCAAAAAATTTTATCTCAGTATCCTTCTGCCTTGTCTGAAGAGCCTTTACAGAAAGGTTCTGATACCGGTCACTTACTACTCACTGAAATTTTGTCAATGTGTCATACACATAAACATATGGATTAGATTACCCACTAGAATTAAGGAGAGGACTTCTTGGTGATGCAAGGGGTTAAGACACAACCTATGAGGTTATCTGCAGCCACTGCAGCATGAGTTCCATCCCCAGCCAGGGAGCTACCCACATGGCGCAGCAGACCTCTCCTGACTCACCTGCTGCTCCCTTCAGCAGAGGATTTCAGTCCATCCACCTGTTCTGTTGCCCACTCTGACTCTGGTGAATCCTCTCACCCCCACACCTCTGGCTTGTACCCCAGTTCTTGTATGCATAAATAAATCTTTAAAAAAAAAAAAAAAAGGAGAGGGATCTGCTCTTCAAATGGCATCTGGAAATGGCAGACTCATGGGTTGAAAGCAGCAATCCCAAAGCCTCTAGAGGGTTTCTGCTTCCTCAACTAAGGGGAATTCATTTTAAGCTCTTAAAGTACAAAGGATCCTTCTAAAACTGGTTCACTTCTCTCAGCATTTTGAGATCAGATCGGCACTCTGACTCCTCTCTGGACCAGGTCTTGCATTTCCCCCAATTGATCTATTAGTTTAGACTTCGTGTCACACATAAAAATTGAGCTTAAGGGTTGAAGCAGTGAGAGTCCTAATGATGTCCAAAGGGAGGAGAAAGAGATCATTGAAACTGGACAGAAAATTAAAAGGAACTGAACAGAGACTTGAGAAAGAAGTCTTATTATTTACCTCCCTGTCCCTCCTACAAAGACCCAATCAAAAAACCTACATTTACCTTCCTTCTCTGTCAACTAGGACCAGGACTGGCTCCCCTGGTGATAGAAACCTCTTCCATTCCTTCCTCGTAGGATTCTATTGTCTGTCTGTGACATCACTGTTTCCCTGCCCTCAGAGATCTTCCTGACTACTTGTATGATATTTTGCCTGCACAAAAACCTTTGGGGTTCATGCTACCCCGAATTTGCCTATAGGAAAATGAATTCTATTGAAAATCCCTGGCATGATTTACACTTATAACTGACTATTGATGGCTTTGCCTTCAAGTAAAGTTAAAAAAAATCTGGGGTCTTCCTGCTTGAATTAGACAAGATTCACCAGACTCTTAGTAATCAGATATTGGAGCTAGGCCTGCTCCATCACTGAACTTACACCTGGAAAAACTTTTTTTTCCACCAATTTTTTAAAGATTTATTTATGTATACAAGAACTGGGGTACAGGCCAGAAGAACAGGGGGTGAGAGGATTCACCAGAGACAGACTGGGGAACAAAACAAGCAGATCAACTGAAATACACTGTTGAGGGGACCAGGGGGCAAGACAGGAGAGGTCTGCTGCACTGTGTGGCCGGGATCGAACTCGTGCTGCAGTGGCTGCAGTTAGCCTCATAGGTTGCATCTTAACCCCTTGCACCACCAGGGAGCTCCTCCAAAGTCTATTCTTAAAACAATGCAGTGAAGTGAATGAAAAAGTATTTCCAAGTTAAGCTTGGAGGATTCTGGTCTGTAAAGTGTGACTAATAAAAACAGGTCTGCCCCAAGTGGAGATTCATTTAGCACACATTTATTGTCTATACTTTAAATGCTGCCCTAGGCCCTGGGGGACATAATACTGAACAAGAAAAAAATAGGACTCTACCCCACAATAGCTTACCTTCTATATAGGGGAGACAAATAGTAAAAAAAACAATTTTAAAGTCTAATGAAAGCTAAAAAGTGTGTTCCAAGGGGTTAAGTCTCAGCACTATCAAGCTATCACCAATCACTGCAACATGAGTTTGATCCCTGGCCAGGGAGCTGACCCACACGGCACAGCAGACCTCTCCTGTCTCACCTGTTGCCCCCCCTCAGCAGTGTATTTTAGTAGATCTGCCTGTTCTGCTCCCCTCTCAGTCTTTGGTGAATCCTCTCACCCCTCGCACCTCTGACCTATACCCCAGTTCTTCTATCCATAAAAAAATAAATCTTCAAAAATAAAAAATAAACAGATATCATAGAAACAGTTGTTTTTTGAAAGTCCTGCAGAGAATAATTCCATTCAGTTTCCTAAGTTCTACCAGCTTGATCAGAGAGGACCATGACTATCTACCCAATAAAAGTAGCTGTTCAGTCACCATTATACCTCCATATTTTCTCTATCTGCAGAGAACTTAATGCTATCTCCTTCTTAATTATACTTTTTTATCTTTTTTTATCATCTCTCTCCCCTCACAAGATTATGCAGTGCATAGTACAGGGATTTTGTCAGTCTTACACTCTAGGATTTCTGAAGACCTAGAACAGGTACAGAAGAGCACAATAAATTTGCATAATAAACATAAGTATGTGTTGAGCCCACCATTATTGCAGGCCTGTGAGACACTAGGAGTACAAGGAGAGAGTAGGGGGTAAAGGCCCTTGGAGCTTTTGGATGTCTAGTAGAGCTTACCTGAATTGTGATACCCTATAGAATGACATCTTTTTTTTTTTTAAGATTTATTTATCCGTACAAGAACCGGGGTACAGGCCAGATGCGCTGGAGGGTGAGAGGATTCACCAGAGACAGAGGGGGAACAGAACAGGCAGACTGATGAAATACACTGCTGAGGGGAGCAGCGGGCAAGGCAGGAGAGATCTGCTGCACCATGTGGGACCCTCGCCCGCTGGCCAGGATCGTACTGGAGCTGCAGACACTGCGGACAGCTTCACAGTGCAGCGCTCAAACACCTGCGCCACCAGGGTAGGCCCTAGAATGACATCATTTTTACAAGGATGGTACAAATCATGGGCCATGGGAAAGTAGAGGGGGGAGGGAAGCACTCCCTTACACAAGGCAGGGGTGTAGTGCAATGGAAGAAGACTGACTGAAGAATGACTTTGGATTAAGATGAGGCCCTAGACAGTAAAACAGCAAGGGGAGAGACATGGATATAGAAAAAACTAGAAAGAGGTCATCCTAGCTGTACTTCAGGATTCATGTGGGCAGGCTGAGCTTCTTAGTATAATTCCTGACAGCTCAGTCAGCGGTCACACCCAGATCATTTCAGAATCAACATTTTGGTGGATTAGGTTCCATTTTAACCCACTTTCTTTTATTACGGCTGGTGAGAAATGTGAGGGCCCTTATGCTCCAGAGCCATGAGGATTTTCCCATTTTCTCCATATATGGATACTCCAAGAGCCAGTGCTGACTGTATGGCACAGCAGACTTCCTGTCTTGTTCCCTGATCTCCACAGCAGTGTATTTCAGTAGATCTTCCTGTTCTGTTCCCCACTGTCACTGGTGAAGACTTTCACTGCCACCCCCTCCCACCGCTGGCCTGCACCCCACTTCTTCTATGCATAAAATAAATCTTTTTTAAAAAGAATTTATATATGTATATTTTTATATATATATATATTTTTTTTTGCATGGTTAGAAAGTAAGAGCATTTACTTATTCCAGGTGTAAATGACTCTTAAGCTGGTGCTTTTCTGGGAGCAGATTTCAAGAGGAAGGAGGAATAATGCCTTTACAAAGTAAGTCCTTAGTACATGTTTTGTTTTGTTTTGTTTTTGAGTAGGGGAAGAAAATGGCCCCCACTTACAGGCTCTGAGGTCTTTAGGGCACTTAGAGGGTCTGGGAAGAGCTGTAACTCCCTCCAAGTAATGCAGGGTTCTTCCTAAGGATGATGTGTGTGTGTGGCGGGGGGCAAGGAGGATCAACTCCTTTCACATGCTATATGACCTTTGGCAATTATCTTAGCCTCCCTGAGATGGGTTCTTCATCTGCAAAATGGGAATAACATTCTTGTAATATGAGAAAGTAATGAGAGGTTATAAATGCTTTTTGAAAGTGCAAACTGGGGCCTCCCTGGTGACGCAAGGGG